AGGTCCCCAAAAGCCTCTTTACACAACACCATTAGGATTCAAAAATAGAGCAGCAGCATTCCTCTCTATCTTTCAGAAAAGGCCAGAGGCACCCCTTCCCCCCTTACCTGTCCACCACAACGTGAGTGTCTGCATGTCTGCAGAGTCTCTCCTTAGTCACCCTCTCTCCTGGGTAATTTGTTGTGTAAATACGGCCCCACTTACAGCTGACGGGCCCTCTCGGCTGTGGCGCTGGAAATGCAATTACAGGCAGCAAACATCTCCATTGTTATCACTAGGGGGTGCGACGCTCATCATGGTCCCCTCGGTGTGGGGAGGGGGAGCAGTTATTGATCGCTATCAGCTTTGAGGAGGTGATTGCTAATGAAGCTATTTGAAAGCCTTTAGTGATCTGTAAAGTTAGCACGCACGCCTCTGTGTGTGTCTGCGTGCGTGTGTTTGTGTGTGTGGAGATTTGTTAATGGAAGTGCTCACAGACACCAGCTGTGTTTGTACAAATCACATTTGCCATCCAGTTATAAATGCCTCCCATGAATTCCCTATTGTTGTGCTCTGGTGCCCCTGGTGGGAGTTTTGATAATTACGTGTCCCATTACTACCCATGTAAACCTGATGTGTGGACTGTTGTCTTTGCAGTAATCTGAACACATTGTCCAGTGGTTTTCCAGACCTATGTTAGATATATATATATACTTGCATACACCCTTTCCATCTATATATCAGAATATTTAAGGCTTTAATCCAGCTGTGAGAAAAATAAATAATAAGAACGTTCCACATTTGGCTGAAAAATACATTTTTCCGCTCAGCACTACAGTGTTCATGAAAGGAGGTTTGGATGTAGCACACTTTATTTTTTCCCATTTGAATGAGAATTGAAGCTCTTGTTTTTTACGCCTACCCTCTCCAGAACTTTTGACCCATCTGAAGAGAGCCACAAACAAGCTCACTCACACATACGTCTCCATTTCTCCAACTCTTTGACAACCTCATGCTGGTAAAAATACAGTGGAAATTCATTATCCTGCCAAGAAAGATGTTCAAGCACAGCCTGATGTAATTCCCCTACACCAATGGCAAAGTGATTGTGCCTTTGTGCTCACTCAGTTATTAAGTAACCTAACTTCACAAAAGATGTATTATCCTCCTCATTCTGAGTCAAGCTGCTCTAATACCTTGCTTGTTTGGGAGTCTTTGAAGCGGAATGGGATTTTTCTTTGTCCCCGTTTGATGTGCATGCAGCCGCCTGTGGACAAATGATTTGCTTCATTCCTTTCTGCCTTTGTTCCTCTACATTTAGTTTTACCTTTGTGTGATATTGTTTCAACAACAGCTTCTGCATATTTATAAGACAGATTTTTTTTTTTTTTTTTTTTTTACTTTTTTTTTTTTTCTGTTTATGGTGATCAAGCAGTACAAGTTGTTGCATTTGCACCATCCTGTATTAATGCAGCATTTGATATATATTTAGTATTATAGGAAGTGTGCATAGGTATAGATATGCTATATAATGTTAATTTGATCATTTTAGGAAAAGTTTCTACACTTGTTCCACAATTGAAATTAAATGTTAGTGGTTTTTTTCTTTTGTTTTTTTGTGGTACAATATGCTGTGTAGTTGTACTGCAGGGAGTCATTAAACACTGGGAAAAAGAAAAGAGCAGGACTGTTCAAAAAATAATTGCTTCATAATTTGTCCTGGAAATCTTTATTACAAGGATTTCACTGATATAATATTTGCCTTCATCTCAGTATGCTTTATGTGAAAAATGACCAGGACTTCCTTTTATTCAACCTGTTGACTTTTAATCTCTTAATATCCTTAAATTGAACACATATTTCTGTATATTGTATAAATTGGATCTGTGTTTCTTGTAAAGTGCCTAGAGACAATATTTGTTGTGACTCTGTATAGAAAAACTGAACCTAATTTAATTGAGCTGGAACTGCATTCGTACACTTAACCCCCCCCCCCCCCCCCCCCCCCAAAAAAAATAAAGAAATAAAAAATTACTTAAGCACCAATTGAATATTAAACATGTGAGGAAATCAAATCAACTTTTACAGCTTAAATAGTGGAATATAGACATTCTAGTCAGTTCATCTTTTAAGGATGAAGAGAATGACTCACAAACCTGGACTTTGATTATATACAGTGCATGTAAGAAATGGGAGTATTTAGTGATGTAAAAACATTTGAACAACACAATTTATTCCAGAACTTTCTTTATCCATGAACAAATCAACATTTTTGATGGAGATAGATACCAAGCATCCGGAAAGTATTCACAGCTTCGCTTTTTTCCACACTCTTCTATGTTACAAGATTATTCCAAAGTATATTGAATCAATCTCTTTTCTTAACATTAAATATGGAAACACTCCATTATGACAATGTAGAGAAGAGTTTTTGAGGTGTTTGCAGTATTTTTTTAAAAACACAAGTTATTTGGTGTGCGTATTCTTACCTAAAGCTTTCTTGAAAGTGCAAGCAACAGATCTGTGACAGAATACAGATTGGTATGTTGGTACCATTGATCAAGACAGCATTTTCAGCAAAACATTGTTGTTTCCAAACTTAAGGTGAGCTTTAAATAGGGAAGCGATAATTGACAAGTTGCATCCTGACCTTTGATGGACCTTATGTTCCTGCTGTGGCTTGTGGTAATCAGTCCATCAATCATTCAATGCAGTTGGACACCAAACAACCAAAGCAGATGATCAGATACATATGAAATACAAATTAAATTGGAGATTAAATGTATGTATATATAGTGTGTGTGTGCGATCGGCTCCTTAAATAAAATCCACAAAGCTTCAGTGATGTCATGCAACACTTTTAAAGAAGATATTTGCACAATTGCTGAACTGTGCAGTCATTCATTGATTTGATATTTAACTTGCTACTCATGCTAAAGACATTGTGACAGATAAAGATGCAGACATAACAGAGAAGCCCACAGTAAATGTTCTTGGTGAGTTTGCCCTTTTCATATTAGACACGATTCAGCAGCTCCATTCTCAAGGAGCTTGTCAGCGCTGCTTGTTCGGAGCTAATGCTGCATAAATAAACTTACTTGGTAATTGAAAAACGGTGATGGTCGATTTCATATTTTTGCCATTCCTGCCTGTTGAAGCACAGAGATGTATTTGTTGCTTACGAGACCAATTATTATTTCCTGACTAAATGAAACAAAATTGTCCTGATTTAGTGAGATTATAGATTATTTCCTTACATTTTTTTTATTATTATTTTCAATGGATTTTATTTATTAAACCTTCTATGAAGTTATCACAGCTGAGCGTTAAAAGTCTGGCTATTTTACTGCTAGGATTATTCTTATTCTCCTCCTTTAATGATAAATACAGTGCTCTAATTTGGCCAATTATTTTCATAAAACACACTATTTTTCCAGATTTAGTACAGCTCAATTGCTTGTGTTGAGCACTATTTGCTCTCCAATTTCTTAGAGGTGAGTTTAACAAACCGTTATGGCCTTATAATTACTTGCTGGTTGAGTATATTGTGGATTTAAAATGCTAAAGCTACTGTACTTTTTTATAAGCAGATAAGGAAAGAAGGTATTCTACGCAGTGTGAAAAAGTATGTAATTTTATTTTAGTGAATTCCAAGTCCGGATACATGTGGCAAAATATATATTCTTCCAGACTTATTTTCCTGTGCTGTAATCAAAATGTGGCCGTTCATTCCTTCTTTGCATCCTTCCTGCATTCTCCTTTCCTTCTCTTCCCCTTCTCGTTCTTACGTCCTTGCAATCGCCCCTCCTCATTCGTTCATCCTTTTATCCTTCCACATGCTCTTTTCTCATCTTGTGTCTTGACTTTCTTCTGTCATCTTAACTACTTTCCTCCATTGTTCTTCATTCTTTCTGTGATTTCTCTCTTCTGTTTTACATATCCTTCGTTCTCATAATATTCTTCTTTGGAGCTTTTTTCTTTCTTCGTTGTCATTCCCTCATTTGCTTCCTTGTGCCCTTTCTTTCCTTTCCCTGCCTTTACTCGTTTCTACCCTTTTTTTTGTTCTTCCTGTCCTTTCTTCCTTCTGGCATTAATGTCTAACCTTCTTGCACTCTTCCTTGGGTTGTGTCTCTTTCTTCTTCCTTGAGTACTTATACTCTTTTGTTCCTGTTTTTCTTTTTTGTTGTTGTTGTTTGATTTTTTTCTGCTCCCTGCAGAAATGCTTTATATTTAAACTTTGATATTTATATAGTTAAGAATGAAGCGGAATGACAACACACTCAAGAAAGTCCAGAAGTTTAGTACGGAAGAAACTAGAGAAATATGCTTAAGTGTTTTATTCCATACATTAATTTAACAGAAAAAAGTATTAAGTTTTAAACATCGTCACAATTTTTTTTAATTCAATGCTAAATTCCAATAATCTACTATGATAAAAAATAAACTAATTGCAGTTGACAGATTTTTCCCTTATAATTTTATGTATGAACTTTGGCCACTAGAGGTCAGCAATGACATTTATTTTTCTATTGCCAGTGTCCTTCAACTATTCGCATGGGGTATATTAAACTTTAAAAAATATTTCGCTAAAACTAATAATTGTGTGTTTAGTTTGATGATGCTGGAAGTGAAATCAATTCAACTCCATTTTGTTTTAATCGGTGAAGCTTATGGCATAAAAAATTGTTTCCAATATGACAAAAAAAAAAGTTTTATTGACGAGTTGAAAATGTATCTAAAATAAGTCAGAATCACTTGCACATTTTGAACTGGACTTTTTGAAGCCTTTACAGTAAATCCTATGATTTGTTTGCATGTAGGACGTGTAACAAAATGTCCAGATTGGTTCCTCACTATTGTGGTCAACTTGTCTTATTTAAGACTTCACTAATTAGAAAGTGTTTTGCTTTAGAATTTTACAGATTAGGCTTGCAGGTTTCTACACTGAACATATTTCCCCTAAACAACACAGCTTGGTTGGCATCTTTTAGTAGGTAACTTTTCATGTCTTGTCTGTCCAGATAACCAGATCCTGCAGTTTGGGAAGCTTGTGAGCACCTCCAACACCTATGAACCCACAGCAACAGGGAGCCCCAGGAAGCCTGTGACTGTGACAACAGACCAGCCTCTGCTTTGGAGCATGGGCATCCGCATTAATGAGAAATAACAGAAACTACCTCGAAGAAACTACCTTTTGTTTTTAAAGGTAGAACAAAAACCACTTGTTAAGGAGTGGATTTCGTCACACTTTGAAAGATCATGATTTAAAGTCATTTGCTAATTTTGACTGTAGATCATGTCCATAAGAGCACATTGAACTGTATCCCACACCATGTGCCTTCAACTTCTCTCCTTTTTTTTGCCCCACATAGGAATGTGAAAAGTGCCTTATGTCATGTTTTAGACTTGGGCTTGTCATAACTGTATTATTGCACTCAATTCCAAAATTAAAAACTGTTTTCACAATAAAGTGACAAATTTCCCAATTTATTAAAAAGTAATCAGCATGTGTGTTTAATTTGTTTTATTTACACAACAAAATATAAATGTTGAGCACAGAATGTAAAAATGTCCATTCACTTTGCCATCACAACTAATAACACTTTGCACCAAGGTCTGTCCAGATAGATTTGGCTTGATCGAGATTTAACCACCACTGGAAGGAAAAACAAAAAGAAATGTTAGCATTAATCAAAACTTAAAAGTCAAACTCATTTCTTTATGCAGCCCTATTTTACAAGATAGAAAAAATGTTGCAAAAGAACATGTTTTTTGGTAAGTATAATTGTAAAATTAAGAACACCAGTAAAGAGTTAAAGAATAAATGTTGCATCATAACTACATTTATGAAGTGCATATATCACAAAATAGCAGTTTTCCAATATTTCAATATTAAGGTAATGCTTATGTTTTACTTATTTCTAGGGATTTATAGCAAGAATTAAGACATACAAATTCAATTTTACTTGCAAAACAAAATATGTTTTAACATTTGCAATCACCTTGTTAGCCACGTTTTATTTTATTCATTTACTTTATATTAAGCAAATATAACTGCATTGCTGATGTTTGGTCTTGGAAGCAGGTGGGCTGCATGTTTTTGAAAGTAAATCAGAGAATGTATCTGACGTGGCAATATTGAAGTAATTAGGCACAAAAATATACAACTGTGGGTTGTGATTAAGGCCTAATTCATAAGGTTTACTTACATGTGTTGTTTCCATTAAAAAAAAAAAAAACTTCCACTGAATTACATACAATAAAACTCTGAAATGGCGCAAAATGTTGATATGCCAAAAGGCATTATTATATGTTTTGCTGTTTGCAATCTTTAATAAGTTTAATCATCAAAACATAAATCAGTCTTCATCTTTTCTGTTTGACTGACTTGTTTCACATTACAAAAATACAATGAAATAAGTCCAACTCTTCATCATATTCAGTAGTATTTAAAGTGTTTTTTTTTTTTTTTTTTTTTTTTTTTACTTACACAATGATGTTGTTGATGGGGATATGGATGAGCTTGACAAAGAAACCAATGAAGCCCATAATGGCGAACCCAATTGCTGTGGCCATGGCAATCTTCTGAAATTCTGAAGAACAAACACCCACATTGCAAAATAAACATACAAACAAAAATGAAATTGGAACTTGCTTTTGAAGCCGGGGTAAGTTAACGAAACAGCTCAGGCTTCATTATTTCAAACGAAAAGGATAAGAGAGGGGAGAGATACCTTTTCGGTCTGGTTTTGTGCACCTCTTTACGAGTCTTATGGAGTCCTTGACGAACTGCCGACTGGGCTCAACAAACTGCATCACCTGATCCATGGTTGCGCTGCAAGGAGAAATCACAGATCATCATTGTCGCTTACATTTCCTTGAGCGCTGACGTTTCAGCTTTCAGTCACTTCATAATTGTATCCGTTTACTTCTATTGCAACAAACACGAACGTTATGACAACTTTATACAAAATATGTGGTGACTTAACATTAAAAACGTGATACAAAGGCGTTTAACAAATCTGTTTCTTATTACTAATACCGTATGAGTACAAGCTAACCTCGACTAAGCATCGTTTAAAGTTAAACATGTTTCGCCAAAGCACCTCAGACCTTTTCGTCTATTATGATTCTAATAAATAAAATACAAAAAAACTGATAAAATTGTTGTTTTACCTGTTTCCGTCCCGTTCTTTCTCAGAGCACAGAGCAGTTGCGGCCACGTATCTTCGACACGGCTAGAAGAAAAAACTAAGCTGACGTAGACTTAAACAGCGCATGCGAGTGACGTGTGTCTTCCTTTTCAGTTTGTACTCGTTTCCGTGTACATCTCCGCCTGCAGGCTGGGAGGTTTTCTACACCATGACGTGGTAGTAACACAAGTTATTGTATCTTCTCGTTTTTAAGAGCATGAAAAAAGCAGTAGAAGCATTTTAAAGCTTAGAATCGCATTCTTGTGATTATGGTCATTACGGTTTCTTGAATCTTAATGTGTCTATGCAGGAAGCATATGTAAAAAACACATTAGAGAGAGTGAAAGCTTTATTACACTGACATAACTGATAAATTAATTTGTACTATATAGTGTGAAATAGCCCAAAAGTAATATGCTACTCAATAAAAAGTGATTATTTTGTTAAATAATCACTGAAAGAGTGTTAACATGTCTTTACATATTCATCTATTTGTTGAACCTGTACCAACATTTATTATTCATCTATTTTCCCAATTTAGATTTATGATTCAACAAAGAAATAACCAATGTTCACATGTCCTCTTTAGGGTATTGTAACCCTGTGTTCTTTTGGTTTTATTTCTGTACATCCCTTGTCTAAGGCGTCCGTCAGCTGTTTATACAACAAAATAATGTTATTCATTTTAATTTCGTAGTCATTTGCATTTAGTTTTCTGTTCCGATATTCAAACCTCTACTTTTATTTATTTTTACTTGAGTTTTTAAAACCATTCATCTACCGCAGATCTGTTTTGATAGTGTGTGCTGAATAAACATTGTAAATTAATTTCATATTGTAACTACCTGAAATATTTTTTAAACAACTTTACTATCAATAAATGAACTATCTCATCGTCTGCAGAGGGTATATTTTCCTTCAGTTTATTTTTGAAAATAAATGTAATTAGAACAATTTAGTTTGTCTGGTGGTTGGACAGAAAATGCAGCTGCAAATACTTTTCTTTTTGCGCAATCTTGTGCTTCAGTCTTAAATCACATTAGTCTTTAACAAAATACTACTCTTAAAACCATTGAAGAAGCTACCAACAAGTAGCTAAAAATGTGAAAATAAATATTTGAGGCCACATTCTAAGATTTTTGCAATACTATAGTCAAACAACACAGCTCCTAAATTATTTGTCAAATACCTTCTTAATAGTAGTATTTGTTTTGTATTTTCTCCTGGTTTGTCACCCCCACCTATTTGAATGTCAGGACTCTGGAAGACTGGATATGTGTCCAATACTCTCACTACCTCTTGTTACTCATACAACATTCTTTCTAATATTTGCCCCCTCATGTGATTTAGATTAAGATTAGAGATTTATTGTTCTGGTATGTTCACTTTAGTCGTTCTCTGGTTTCCTAAAGCCAACGTGAGTCAGCGGCATGATTGTTACCTTTATAAATGTTGCTATCAAAAAAAAAAAAAAAAGAATCATGGGGTCATCAATTTTGTTATCTATTTTGGATAATATGGCTAACTTGAAAGAATAAAAGCCTCTAACTCCTACTCGCTATTATCCAATTCTGTCAAATATATTTATGTAACTTCATCTGGAGCAGCGAGTAGACGGGGGGGGGAAAAAAATCTGTACATAAATTTCTGACAAACGAGCACAACTCTACAGAATGTTGTAGAGTTGTGCTCTACAACATGTTTTGTCAGTTCGAAATAACACCGTGTCATAATAAATGTTGCTCAAAAAACTGTTACTTTTCCTTCTTTTGAGAGAAAAACTTTGTTTAAAAAAAACTGCAGAATGTATGAAAAAAAACAGATGCAAAGTACAGTTCAATATCTAACTTTACACTGATTGGATTTTTACTGATCAATAGAAATACAGAGAACCTTACAAAGGGAACAAAGATTCTAACAAAGGAAGATTTTCAACATGTTCTACTCTCAGCGGAATCTATCCTGGCTGACACTTTGAAAATTAGACTATTTATGTACATATCTATTGAGGAATTAGCATCAGTTACATCTTGAAGTAACAGTTCACAGAATCTTCTTTGAAAACAACTAACATGTAAACCATGTAAATAATAAAAATACAGGGGATTTTTGAGTTTATTCAAACTTTATCACAATATAGCTGAGTAAATGCGACATTGCATCTTAGTGATAAAAGCTTGCAAAATTAAACAACAATAACATGTAATGACTTTAGCAGCTCAGGTCTTATTCAACTAAATTAAAGCATAACATACTGGTTTACTTATAATCATGACAAAGCACAGTTTTAGTACAAGATACACAACAAATAAATACTTAGAACCTCTGTGTGTCTGGAATGCTTTAAAAGACTTTACATCAGAAATAATTCAGTGAATGCTGATTAAAGTCAACATGTGATTTCTTTTTGTCGACAGAAAATGAAAGAAAAACTTGGAGCAGTCCTCGATACTTCACACCCAACTTCACCCAGAACAGCCAAACTTTTCAAACGAGTCATAGATTCATAAAAGTGCATAACAGTTCTTTCAATGTGTGATATGTGTAACACGTAGTCAGTCCGCTGCTCTTCACTGCCAGGTGATGCCAAGCATGTCGCAGCTCACCTCCCACAGCCTCTGGGCCAAGTCATCATTAGCAGCAGTACTTGAGCAGCGTGCAGGCGCACAGTCACTGAACACGAGCAATGACAGAAATTGGTCATTAGATTCTGTCCGGTTCTTTTGTGCCATGGTTAAAAGTTGTATATTTGTAAAGTTTTACTGAGTAAATGTGCAGTATTTTATTAATTAACAGTTATTGAGCTTGTTGGCAAAAGGTACCTGAAATAGTTTCCACTCTGGCTCTCCAGGCCTTGTTCCACAGCACAAAAGATGGTGGTCTGTGCTCCCTCCACTGTCGTCTTGGTAAAAATCCGGAAGATCTTCACTGCTACTTGTATGCACTGGTGCTGGTGTCGCCACAGATCAGACTGGACCACTCCCGGGTGCAGAGAAAAGACACTGACACCAGTTCCTGCAACATGAACAAAGGCGAGATTTACATTCACTGCAGTTTTGAGAGCACCCTGAGAACTTCTTCACATTCAGTCACACTATGGCCACAAATTATTTTATGGAAATTTTGTAATTTAACATATTTTTGTGCACAATTGTGAAATGGAAAAAAAGTGTAGATAACTCTTATAATGTTTAGCATAACAAAATGAAAAGTGGGTTTTGTACAAATAAACTGACATTTGGATTATAATTTTTTGCTTAATTGGATGGAGGTCCCATAAACATCCGTAATTCATCAAATTTGGGTTT